AGCTAAGAGATAGATGAATAATGTAAAATTGATTTGTAGACCTAAAAAGTCTGTATTGCATCCAGAATCAGAAGAAAGTTTGACTGATATACTTGCATTTGTTGAAACCGTTCAACTTCTCTCATGCACCTAGACACAAAGGTGAACTTTATTCACTTTAATTGAAAACATGCATGAAACAATTAAGAGTTAGTTTAATAAATGAACTAGTTTGATGAATGAACTAGTTTAATTAATGAACAAACTTTATTCAATGAACTATATGATTTAAATGAAATGCATGATTAAATGAACAACACACATATTAAATGCAATGAATGTCATGCAACTAATAAAACTCATGTAAATTCATGCAATGAATGATATCATATGATAAGCATATCCCAAGAGGTAAATACAAACATATGATAAAATATAGTGCATAAATGATCAGGTATAGGATGAAGTAAGGTACAACTCCCTTTGAATCAGCCTTGATGAACTTCAATGATTTAATCAGATCAAGAAGAAAGTTAGGCCTGATTGGGATCGCATCATGTTTTTCCAAATTATGTAAAGTGACTCACTAGTAATGTGAGAGTTACTCATTCGAGAAATTATGCCCGACTCCATAAATGAAATTAGGATATATTACCGCTTTATGAACCTAACCTCGTAGCCAAGGTCAAATTGATTTCACAAGGATAATTCTGTTCAAATAATTTTATTGGGATGAGGGAGAGTTTTGACAAGAATGTACATTCAGCTGATTAAGGATTAGTAAAGGACCCGTACTTCTATAAAAGCTACCTGAAGATAATGAAGAATTGCTTAAAGTTTCACTTATACATTTATATGTGACTTGAGTGAATTTCGAGGACAAAATTCTTTTAAGGGAAGGAGAATTGTCACACCCTAATTTAGGGGCTAGATTTTATTAATTTATAGTATCGAATTAAAGTGGTAACAAGAGAAAAATTGATGACCAAATTTTAAATTTGTAAAAGTACAGCTTGATTTTGGAACTTATGGAAAGTTCAGGGACTTAACCCTAAATTTTACCATTTTTCTTGTTAGAGAAAAATAAATCTCCCGGTGAAATCCTGAATTCCCAATCCCACCAAATCCCTAAGCCTTTCGTGTCACCTTAGTCCTCGATTCTCCCTCCTCCGACCGACGGTGCATGTCACCGCCTGTCCCAGTGAAGACGTTGTTGTAGTCTGACTGAAACAAGTTGACCAATTCATCGAAAGGAGTTATTGTTCATTGGGAATGAACAATAGAAGTTTCGTCGAGAACCCCACCCATCGCGTCAAGTTTTTCTCGATTTCGACCGATCCGACGACCATCTCGTCTCACCATCCCTCCCATCGAGTTCCCCAGCTCTGTGCAATCAAACCCTGACCAGATTCAACGTTCCACAGTCGCTCGTTTTCCGTCCACCATGGTAAGTGCTCTGGCCATATTAATTTGTTCGATTCACCGTCTTTTGGCTGGGTTTTGATATATTTTGGTTGAATTTTGGTGAGTGCTTGAATAGGGAGTAATTGGTAGCCATCCCCCGACTTGTAACCTTCATCACTCACCCCCGCATGTGTGTGGGGCTTTTCCCCTAGCTATGGTTTCTTCTAGAATCGGTCCAGTCGGTATGGACCAGTCTGAACTGACCCAACCCGGTCTGAACCAGGTCTGTTTGACCCGAATTGAGTCAACCCGATCCGAACTAAGTCAACTCGACCTATTGACCGGTCTGACCCGTTGACCGGTTTGACCTGTTAACCATTGACCGGTCTGACAGTTAACTTTGACCGTTGTGATTGTTGATCGTTGACCTTGACCAAAAAAGTCAAATTTTTCGAAAAGTCTTAATCAATTTTTTTCGACATCCTAAGTCTGAATCCGATGTCCGTTTTGCCAAATTTGTTCTCATTAAGTTGTTTTTCAGTGATTTATTTTCGGAATCAAATTTGTTTTTTCGATTAAGTTCAGTTTCTAACATAAATTCGTTTTCTATGTATCTGATAAATTATTGGAGGTTGAATTAAAGTTCAAGAGTGATCGAATGGAGTTTAAGTGTTTGATTAATGGAGCATGAAAACCGAGGTAATATATTACTACTTTTTGCATGCTTTGTGGAACATGTTGGTATTGGTTAATGCGTGAATGATTATGTTTGGTCACATGTGTATAGTTAATTAATTGTAATCTTGATCCGAATGCGATAAAAGTTAGTGATTTGAATAAGACTCAAATGACTCGTACAAGAAAGTAATAGACCGACAAGCAAATGATTTCAAGTTCATCGGCTATTTGGAAAAGCAAATAAACTCGAAATCTCTAAATTTTATTTATCCTCATTAAAAACTTTAATACTAAAATTAACTAATTATGAAATTAGGGATTAGCCCTTAAAGTGTAAAATGACCAAAATACCCTTGAAGTTTAAAATGACTATATTAAATGACCAAGTTGAACTAAGTCGAAGTATTGTATTTATCTAAATTGTGGAAACGGATGAATTACTCTGGAAACTCCGAAGTCACCGGGAATAACTTGACTACTAAATGACCTAAGTACCTTCAAAGACCAAGAATTAAGCCAATAACTTGGATAAGTATGGAAACACTGATGATCTTATATGTTGGATCGTTCATAAGGGTTTTGAACCACGAATCAACACGTCGACATTTCTTGATATCATTACAATATAGAAATGAAATAAATACCATTGGAATACATGTTCTTCTCTCTAAGATCTATTCAGCGATGATTTTGAAGAATATCATTTCGACAAGAGTTGTCAGTATTAAAGTGTGAATACCCTTGAACTGCAACGATTTGACCAGTTGACAGTTACAACAGTATTGGTATTTGTTCAGTTCGAGTTAACTTGATATCCTGATAAATCGACACAAATCTTAAATACCAGGAATCGTCGTTTCTCCCTTATTAGATTAAATTACTAAGAATTCTCCAAGAACCTAATGTCCAAAATGCCCTGATTTCCTGAATAATGGAATCACTCTTGTCATATCTGAAATCACAAGTAACTCTTACGTAAAGGATTTTGAATACCTTTCTGATTACATAGTGCCTCCGAAAAAATATCTGAATACTATATGATCTTGATAAATCATGTCTCTAATAACTGATGAATCTGTCAGCTATCAAACCCTTTTATAGGGATCTCGTTTGTGAATTTAATAAGTTTACAGAAGTTTCATGGCTCCCTCCTACCTGATAAATAACAAGTACCTTCATAAAATAACTAGATCATCTAGTGTGTTCCCTATATGTTATATATAATTGTTTTATCTGTTCTGAAATGTGTTTTACCGAGATTTCTGAGTTACTAAAGTTTTAAGTCTGTCTGTTTGATTCATGATCTCTTTATACTGTTACTACTGAATTGATATGTCTGAACTCTGATTTCTCTACTGCCATATTATATTGCTTGGAAACTGATTTCTTCGGGGTACTCTGGGATATGGTATGAAGTTTCTACAGGTTCAGCTTGGTCAAACTGGTAATTCCTTATATATGTTCAGACCGATCGAGCTGGTAATCCCTTACGGATCTAAGGTGACCCTTGGGTGACCTCCTAGGCCTTGTGGTAAGACCTTATAGACCCTAAGGTACTTCCATAGGGTGCCACCTCTGCTATGTGCTTTGGGTAAGTCCTTATGGACATGAGAGCACTCCCCTCAGGTGGGCACCTACGCTTCGGTTAGGGTAAGACGTTATGGACCCAAGGTGTTCCCTTAGATTAGCACCTAAGCACAATGGGCCAAGGGTAAATCCTTATGGATGCAGTTCTGGGGAACTTCATAATGGTGTTCGGTTGGAAGGTTTTGCCATGGTTTTAAAAATACATTTTAAATTGTTAATGTTTTAAAAAGATCTGTACCTTTTCAATGGTTTTGTGGGAACACACTAGACACCCGATTCTGATCTCTGGAACCTAGTTCTCTGAACGTTCCATCTGAACTGTAAGCATCATGTCTTTTACTACCTGAAATATCAATGGGACCTCAGCTCATAACAAAAATCTGTAGATGTCTGAATCAATAAGGAAACTTTTTGCTTGCCTATTATCTACATGTCCTTCAGCATCACTTGGTAGTTTTATATTGTTGAGCTTCCCAAAGTTCACTCTGTTACACACTATTTCACGTTAAATTGATCCAATACAACTATCTACATCAGTATTGGAGTTCCACCGACGTTATTTGCAGAGTACGGTGCATGTGCTTAGGGGGCATGTAGGTGGTATTCTGTTTTTATATCCGAGTCTGAAACATGTATGATTTTATTTATGTTTGTAGTATATGATTGGTTTTCTGAAATTGTATTTTAATTATAATTTGTTTTATGATTTTACACATTTTAACAGAAATTTTAAATTTTTCTGGGATTTTTACTGTCAGTCGCTCCGGTGGCCCTAATGTGACACATCGGATCGGATCGGGTCACCTACATTGATTAGAGGGTGTTACATTAGGTTTAAGATAAAAAATAAAAAAGACATTTTTTTTAATTTTTAATCCCATTTTTCTTTCTTCACTCTCTCTCATCCTACATCCCATTTCTTTACTCTAAAAATTCTAAAACCCTAAATCATTACTAACAAGCCATCACCAAATGTAGTCGTGGATTATCTTTAAACTCTAAAAATTCTCAAAAATCTCATTCATGCCTCTTAATTCTGAATTTTTTTTCATTGAAAAACAGTTCGTCTTCTTTGTTTATGATCCTCCTCGATGTCCATCTGAATTTCACTGAAACTCGGAAAATTTTCACTTTAAACACCTCAAATTTTGGTGTTGGAATAGTAACCTACGGTTGGTTTTAATATCACAGCTATAAGAATTAATCTGACCACTACTAATTAATACAATTACTAAAAAGGAAGAAGGAACTTCAATTACTAAAAATGATTTCAAAGAATGTCTTTGCCACTGCTTAGGATGATAAAAAAGCAACATTATATGTGAAATTGGAATCTAGCTACTTTGAAAATTTCAGAATGGGAATTTTTGCGTAGAACTTCCCACATCAAGTTGAGATGAAGAGATATATTTGGCTTGGTGGTGATGATGATGATCTATGCTGAGAGGCTGAGTTGTTAGAAGTTTGTCCAAGAACGACCATTCACCATTGTACCTCATCTGATCTTGCTGCATCAGTCCACAACCGCCACCGCTGCCGTTTGTTGTTAGCCTCAGAAAGTTTTGAGAGCATTCTATATCCATGGAGTTCAAAGACAGTGGTGATATAAAGGAAGAAGCGATGGCCGATGATTCCGGGCTAAATAACTGCGGTAGATGCATGGAGGCGTCAAAGGAATATTGATCACACATCTTATGTAAATGATGATTATTATTGTTATGCCTTGGATCCATTTGAGATGAAGAAGCAACACTCTTGATGTGACAAAAGTTTTCTTCTTGACCACTGAAATCTGCCTGAAAACTGCTTCTGATATGATTCTTCTTCTTAGAAACCCTGCAAACAACCCACCCATCTTCCTGCTACCAAAGCCTTTATAATATAGTGTTATTTATTGGTCACGGATACATAAAAAGAGTTAGAATCATCGACTGTGATCGAAGTCGTTTACCTGAACATCAGAATCATCTTCGTCTAAACGATATTCATGCATGATCCAATCTGTTTTCTGGCCTTGAGGGGCACGTCCCGTGTAGAAAACTAGGGTTTTCCTCATGCCGATTTTCTTGGAGTTGCTGAGATGGATAGCCTTGTCCCTCCCAGTTGCCTTCCAAAAACCAGCCGTAGTTGCCCTATTTGTTCGAGTCCCCGTTGGGTATTTCTTGTCCTTGTGGCTGAAGAAATACCACTCGTTTTGAGGTCCTGATCCGATTCTGCATTTATCTGCTATTCATACAACAAAACATTAGCAATTATAAATCATAGGTCGGTTGGTCTAAGAGGTTATCATTTGGAGATGATCAGGGATGGACCGAAGGGGTGGGTGTGATAGCAGTCTCTCAAATATTCTAGATATTTGCTTTGTATTTTCTATTGATAATCTAAAATTCTATAAGTTCAGTTTTAGTCCATCCATGGAGGTGATTGATAAGATGAACTTACCTTTAAGATCCCAAGGCTCAAGTTTGTTGAGATCAACTTCCCTTATAACATCAAGGTCGATAGCTTCATACGAGACCATCTTCCTCAGGTAATAGTAGAGAAGCTCTTCATCTGTCGGGTGGAATCTAAAACCTGGCGGAACTGAAAGCTGCCCTTTTCCTGCCATCATTTTATTTTCCACGATTCTTCTTCTACAACAAAATAACTTCATTGTTAGTAACTATATATATAATATATATATATACAAACATATTACATGTATATATAATTAAAACTACAGACAACATACTCTGAACTTTATGTGTATGCATATTGTTACATCACAATTAAAACTCTCATTGCTACATGCATAACTAGTTTATTTACCTATGAAAATCAAAATTTTGAGACCGAAAGGGTTTGAACTGCTGACAAGAGATGAAAAGCCACACATTTTGTTGTCTGTTGACAATTTATGTTCCTTTTTTAAAGTTCTATACCATCCAATGACTTAGTTAAAAGTTTAAACCCTAGATTATGAAGAAGCTGAACAATAACGAACAAACCCTAAAATCTAATGGGTAAAGTACAAGCGCATGCATGCATGCCGATGCAGTCAAGAATTCCATCTCCATGCTGAAACGGATATCTATTTGTAGTGACAAAGGGGAGAAAAAAGCGAACCTTCTTTTTCGGCTATGACTGAGTGGTAACAGTACAAACGAAACAATACAAAGAGAAGAAGAAGAAGAAGGAGGAGGAGGAGGAGGAGGAGGAGGTAGGCAACGAAGAGAGAGAGAAAGAGGGGAGGCAGATTTCTTAGCTTGAAGGGCACGATGTTAGGGCTTTTAAGACAGAGGGATGAGAATGTGGATAAAATACGAGACCACCGTGGATGTGCTGGCTTGACTTGGTTCAGAATAAAGACAAATAATTAAATAAAACACATCATTTATATGTACTAATTAAGAATGAATTATGAGATATTATATATATTAAAGTCGAGCATGAAGCATGAAATAGAGGGTTGGGCATATGTCCGTTGAACGGGAGACCTTATTCCTGAAAATCGCCTAATAAAAATGAGTAAAATCTGCACAACTGTCAATTACATTTAAGTATTCATTACTTAATATTATTTAATGGACTTGCACGTACGTACAGTTCACCTATTCCTGCCATGAGCAAAGTTGAGGAATGAAAAGAATTATCTTCCACAATTTGACAGCCCTTTTTACTAAAAACAATTATTAATATTCAATGCTTATTGATTTTTAATGTAAATATTGATTTAGCTAAGATATAGATAATTGTATTTAAGTAAAAGAGATAAATCATTTTCATTTGTGTACTTTTATGACCTATGTGTATACATGGTTAAGGGAATTAAAAAGTATAATCCTCGAATGTATTTTTATGATTATAAATATCACATGGCATGAAATTCAGTGCAAGGCGCAGAATAAGCCTTTTGAGTTATTAAATCAAACAAATCAATATACTAATTTATGGGCATACTCACTAATTACTTTGCAATAATCACTAGGGATTAACTTTAACTTCTCATCCATCCATTGTTATTTGTGTAACCCTAGACCCGACATATGTGTTACGACTAGATCTAGTATATTACAATAAAATTTCCGAAAACATTTTTAATAATTTAAAACCGTATTATAAACAATATCTAATAAAAAAGAACACAGTTAAAAATGATAAAATTTCCATCGAGTAAATTCCATCCAAACGACGTCGTTTGTTAAACGAGCCAAGTCGAACTCGAGTATTGCTGAGCTCGACTCGAACTTGAAAACTTTAAAAGTAAGCTCAACTCGACTCAAACTCACGAGCTAAAAATTATCAAGTTCAACTCAAACTCGAAATATAATATTGAAACTTGAACTCAAAAAGGCTTGAACTCAAAAAAAATTTAGAAGCTAGATTGAAGCCTAAAATTCGAGCTTGATTGAAGTGAAAGAATAATTTACTCAATGCTCACCAAAAGGCTCCATGATTTTGAATGCCAAATTACCTCTATTATTTATAGAAGTTAGTTGTGATGCTCTTCTATTTCTTAGCCATGTGGATGTTTTGTTCTCATATTTTACTCTTTAGACTTTTGAGATGCTCTTCTATGTTTCTTAGCCATGGGATTGTTTTTAAAAAAATTAACCAAACAAATATCATTTTGTTATGATTTTTTAGCCCCAAATTTATTTTTAATTATAGTTATAATTATATTTATTATTTAATATGTTTTACCTTAAAATTATGTTGTAGTTAATTTGAATCATTTTGTTTCACTTGATTTTATTGTTTTTAACTTATATGTTATGACTTGCTTTGAATATGACTTGTGATATAAAAAATTATTTTTATTAAATATTTTGGTATTTTTATTTAATTTTTTAAATAATTATGACGTCGTTCGGTTCTTCCGACCGATCAGACCGGTTCGACCGGTTGAACCAGTGAACCGGTAGCATGACCGGTTCGCTAATCGGTCCGGTTCTGAAAACCATGAACATAAGTATGTCAAAATAAGGGCACATGTCATCATAAATTAAAGCAATTCAGATGATAAAAACATTACAACAAAAGTTCTGTAAGAATGTGTCGATCCTCCAAGTGTCTGGTTTGGGGTGTCTATCCAAAAGTATATGAAAAGGGGGAAAACAATTTGAAAATGGTGAGCTAGGGGGCTTAGTGTGTTCCATTGGTGCAAGTAAAACATAATAGATATAACAATCAATAAGTGTTTCAGCAAGGTTTCGTAAAGGTCATCGATAAGTTGAATTTAAAAACTCATAGTTACCCCCCCCCCATACACCAAAATGTTGTTCCCCTAGAACTGCATCCAGAAGGGCTACCTTATACCTATTGGGTATATGAGTCATCCTAAGGGACTACCTTGGGTATTAAGAGCCTACCCAAGAAAGTTCTCAGGGCCTCAGAGCCTACCCAAGGGCTACCTTAGGTCCGTAAGGTATTACCAGCTTGATCAAAGTTGAACCTCCATACTCAATATCATACCCAAAACAATATCTCAGTAGAACATTTCACATAGTAAGTAGTAATTTCCATGAATCCATAATCAGCGTAATCATATTTATAATGTAAACAAGTAACCAAATAACTTATATCAAATAGTCATAGTTCATAAACAATAGTCTAGTAAATCAGTAATTTAAGAAAATCACATTTTTAAAGCAGGTAAAATAATTATATGACACATAAAGAACACACCTCGCAAAATGGGGTTGATCAGGGAGTCTACTAAGCACCCAATCCACTATGCTCTGCAGTAGTGCTCGAGCCTAATTCATAAATTACCGAGTTAATATCGAAGAAAGATTTCAATCTAGGTATTCATAAGGTTCGCGAGTCATACGAGTAATCACTAGCTCACGAGGTCGGACTGATCGAGAGGAGATGGGTTGAGTTGTCGAATGATCGGGAGAGCCTCGTATACCTTCAAATAATAGTATTTGACCGGTTATAAAATACTTCTGGACTAGCAGGAGAGGCCCACACACATTACCGATGCGTGGTGGCGCGTGCGGCGACGATGGGGCTCATTTTGACCGACTGAATTTCCCTAGATCATCTATACACTCCAATTAATTAGATTTCAACCCAAAATTGACCAAAACCAAGCTAACATAATCTGAAACACTACCGAGACTTACCCAAAATGGTTAGTGTAAAAAACAAGATGATACGATGGCTCGCCAGTTGGGTTTCGACCGCCCGGGGACGACGAGCAGAGCTATGGTGGATACTAGATTTTGAAATTAACCGAGGCGATGAGAGGGCTTTCTCCAGCGAAGCTTCTTTGAATTTTTTGTGAAGATTGGTCGGAGCGAGGTGGCAGTTCAAATTAAGGTGGAAGCGGTGGGTGTGGAGGTCGGACGGTGGTGAATTTAGGGAGTGCCGACGGGGTACGATTTAGGGGTTAGAGATTTAGGGAAATTTAGGGATTGGGTAAAATAACCCGATTTTGAACCAATATATTATATATTTAATAAAAATATCATCAATAATACCCTAGCCTAAATGGTTAGGGCATGGTTGACTTTATCCCTAGAGGACAGGGGTTTAAATCACTTGCAGCACCTAATCCATTTCTTTTTATTTTTTCTCTGTCGACATAAAATGGGGAAATTTGTGGTTAAGTCCCTAAACTTCTTATAGTTTTTTAAAATATCTGCAAGTTCTAGAAACTTGCAATTTGGTCCCTAATTTCATTAAATTCTTTATTTTAATTTTTTAATTAAATTTTTTTATCATTATTTAGGGTTGTTACAATTCTCCCCTAAAAGAAATTTCATCCTCGAAATTTACCTAGGGTAAACAAATATGGGAATTAAGTATTTATAGATTCTCTTCTCTCTCAGGTGGCTTCTGTAAGATCACGGTTATTCCACTGAACCTTTACCATTGGAATATACTTGCTCCTCAACATTCTCTCTTCTCGATCCAAAATATGAACAAACTCTTCTTCATAGGATAGATCTAGCCTCAACTTAACATCCTCTAATTGAATATTATGGCTAGGGACTGGACGATAAAGCCTAAACATGGACACATGAAGACATCATGAATACGGATGAGCTAATATGCAACTGGTCCTACTCTCTTTAGGATACGATATGACTCAATAAATCTAATACTCAATTTACCTTTGCGTCCAAATCTCAACATTTTCTTCTATGGAGATACCTTTAAAAATACATGATCTCGAACCTCAAACTCGATGTCTTTCTTTCTTTGGTCAGAATAAGACTTTTGCCTATCAAATGCCTCATTCAGGAGGTTACGGATCAACCTGAAGGTGTCCTCAGTCTCACATACTAACTCAGGTCCCAAAGACTTTCTATCACGTAATTCAGTCCAAAAAATTGGGGTACAACATCTACACCTGTAAAGTGCTCCATACGATGACATACGAATGCTAGCCTGATAGATGTTATTATAGGCAAACTCAGCCAAGGGTAAAAAATTCTCTCAACTACCCGAAAGTCAATAACACAACTTGCAACATATCCTTAAGAACATGAATCACTCACTTATATTGACCATTAGTTTATGGGTGGAAAGTTGAATCGAAATTTAGTTTAGTACCTAGAGCCTCATGTAGTGCTTCCCAGAATCTCGAAATAAATATTAGATCTCGATCGAAAATGAGAGATAGTGGAACACCATG